TCTCAAAATACCAAGATGTAGGCTACCAGTTTAACATTTTGGAAAAATGTGTTGCCTAACCTAGTAGTAATTGCATCAAAATGGCTGCGACTATGGAGGGTAGAAAAAAGGAGGACAATCTTATATGGATCGTTATATTAAAAAGTGGCCACCAAAATGTATACAATTAAGATGGCGCTCGTGTAGCCAGGGGACAAAATCCAATGCTATATAGTCATATAGATTGCTCATTCATAAGAATTATTTATTGTTTATATTATTATTTTTCAATAAAATTTGACTATTGTCGTGTATTGTCAAAATTTATCTACGATCACAGAACACTTACTCTTCTACGACCAGTCACTTTTCACGGTGTAGTTTTTAGTTTTTTATGGTTGAGTAATATTTATTACTATATACATCATTGGTGTCATTGTGTGATCTGAATTATCGACTGTCGACGTCCCCTGGGCACAGAAGCGCCATCTTAATTGTATACATTTTGAGGGACACTTTTTGTATACAGAGATTGTTCTCCTTTCCTCTACCCTCCATAGCTGCGACCTATGGTGGGCATGTCGGACGTCTCTCTTGCACCGTATAGTAATCAAAGTATGTGGCAGGGGCTGGTAACTCAAATGCAAAACATGAGGACGGTAATTTAGTACCACTCCAATTAACGGGATGGCGCTCGTATCGAAATATCATGTTAGTTGTCAGCTTGTCAACAAAACTTCAAACTTGGAAAAATTAAAATGGCTGTTGCATTTGAAGGTATATTGGATTTTGATTCATCTAAATTTATTTTTCAATACCTTCCAATTTTAAGCATGTTTTCAAGAGATGGGAATATGGATTGAAGCGAACAATAAAGCACTCCCAGATATTGGTAATAATGCAATTAATACCACGTATTAAATATGCGGTCATCATGATGTAATGAAGTCAATTTTCCTCAATCAATTTATTTTCATTTTTCATTTTTAATAAATATTTAACGCGATTGAACTGTCGATCCTCAGTTAATTTACAGATGCGCGAACGCCACCATAACTTATGAACCGATACAAATAAAAACACCAAATTTTAAACTTAAGCTTTATTCCGGCGTCCAATAAACTTATTAGATTTTGGGCAGAGTCGGAACATCTGGGGGTACTTTATTGGTGGTCATTTTTATATTTTATGGAATATATTCGTTATTTACGTTTGGAGAAGAAAATTATATAAATAAAAGTTACTTACAATGTTATTATCTATAATTTTTGTTTTATATAAAATTTTCCTAAAATGATCTGTATTCGAGAAATTTAACAAAATGTAAAAAAATTCATTTTTTATAAAAATTGTTTTAATAAAAGTTGTTTGTATTATAAGTCTCTATAATTTTTACATAATTTCTCTAAAATGGACCGTATTCGAGATATTTGAGAAAATGTGTAAATTTCGAATTTTGACGAAAACTCAAAAGCGGATAAAGGAAAAAACAATAAATTTTAAACTTAAGTTTTATTTCGGCCTGAGGTAAAATGATTAGATTTTGGACAAAGCCGGAACATCTCGGAGGGGGGTACTTTATGGGAGGCCGTTTTTATATTTTATGGAATATATATTATAGAAAAATGTGCCGAGTTAGATGTATGTGGAAAATGTATATATTTAGTTTATCCTCTAAACATTTATAGAGGTGCTGCAATATAATATCTAGATAACTAGATAGGAAAGTCATGTGTTGGACACATGATTTTTACGTTTAATATTGAGTCCGTATTTCATTTTAAAAACTGAATTAGCTTGTAGGAATAGGAACATTTTCAGATAGTGTTTAGTTAAAAGATTTAATTTGATTTCATTAATAAATAATTGAATTTGTTTCTTGGCAAATGATGTCGTTTCTTTTGTTGTTATAGATAGTGTTTAGTTAAAAGATTTAATTTGATTTAAATAACAAATATTAGAAATTGTTTCTTGGTAAAAATATTACCGTTTTTTTATAGTTAGTGTTTAGATAAAATATTTAATTTGATTTCATTAATAAACATTTGAATTTATTTCTTGACAATTATCATACCATTTCTTTAAAAAGGGATAGAATTTGAATTAAATAATAAATTATAGGATTTAATTCTGTAATATTGTAAAACCAAGAATTTTAGACTTTTGATCGTTAGTCTGTATTAAATTTTTTTTTCTTTTGATAAGTTAAATCGGGAATTAAATTTGATTTTATTGATAAATACTTTTGTTTAGTAAGTGCTGCGTTGTAATTAAGTTGGGAATATTTGTAAACGGAGTTTTCGAGGAGACGTTTTCCCTCTTTTAATAGTTTGTTTATTTCTTTACCGTATATTTAAATAATCTTAAATAGCATCCTGTCCTTGTCTGAACGGGCTCGTGATTACGATCAGTTCACCCTTGGAGTAGGTGCTATCCGCGTTATAATTTTTTTTTAGTTAATCTTTAAACCGCAAATTTTAAATAATTTTAAATAGTATCCTGTCCTGTTTGAACGGGCTCGTGATGACGATCAGTTCACTCTTGGAGTAGGTACTATCCGCGTTAGTAATTTTCTTCCCTCCGATAATAATTTGTTTTTTTCTTTTACCGTCAATTTAAATAACTTTAAATAGTATCCTGTCCCTGTCTGAACGGGCTCGTGATGACGATCAGTTCATTCTTGGACTAGGTGCTATCCGCGTTAGTTTTCTTTTCCGCTTTATATGCTTGATTTTTTCCGTGCAAACTGCAAGTTGTAGAAATCAAAAATAGCTTCATTACCCTGTCTGAGCGGGCTCGTGATGACGATCAGCTCATTCTGGGATAATAGGCTACCCTGGGTATAAATTTATTTTTATTTTCTTTCCGTGTATTTACTATAAGTAATTCTTTCGCGTCTCTGTCTTCTCGCACTCTCTTCGACCGTTTAGCTAATTTTTCTTCACCTAAATAGCAAAATACTTACATTTTAGTTTCATTCAAGAAACTGCGGTTAAACAGTTATTTACCGAGTAAATAGCCAAGTTAATAATTTTTTTTCTCTGCGACCGAAACATACATTTTCTTTTAATTTAATTTTGACGTCTGATTGAGACTAGTCGCGAATCAATACCGTCCGTTTTGACTATCACCACAACTGGGGTGGGCGTTGAAATATTTAATTTTTTTTTGGTCTAAATAGTTAATCACAATATATGTGTCAATGTTAACCTGTCGTGTTACTGGTTAATAATTCCTACTTTATTTCCCCCTTATATTTCAGCTAGTGATAAATTCTGTACCAGCCCAAGCAACGATTAAAGCCCGTTACCTGTGGCCTACTATTACCTGTGTCTAAGTGACCTTTGACCCCTGGAATTTTTCATCTCCATCTGTAGCTACCCGAGTACTTTCGAAAGTTTGTGGAGTAAACCATCATCAAAAATCTGGCGCTCTAGAACCGCCCGCAACCAGCGTCATTCGTAAGGAACCGTTTTCTCTGTGGCGAGAAAACCCCTTACAATCTTAAGGATAACCAAACAATTTGTGATAAGTGTCTTAAGAAAAATGCATCTTGTACTGGCATTAATGGTAAGTAATATTTACAAACTTGTTTTTGATTCAGTGTTAAAATAATTGGTTTGTTGTTTAAATTTCTTTTTGTTTTCAGGTTTTAAATGATCATTGTTGTAAAGAAAATGTTGGCCCTTCAAAATACCATGTAGATCACTGATCTGTGTTATTTTACTGGATAGGATATAAGCTATATTTAACATACTAAAAAACCGTTCCACCAAGGAGACCGGAAGTGCAACATTGCTGGCCGATTTGGGCAAATTATGGTGGGTTCACAGAACTGAAATTTGGGATAATTTGACATACCTAACCTATAATTTGATTAGTTTTTCTTCTTCTTCTTCTTCTTCTATTCCTTTTGCGGGCGATGTCCTTCGGGAAAATTCACCCATGATTTGATTTTTTATGAAAGAAAATATAAAAATGGAAACGTGAAGCATATTGTGTCTTCAGGAATGAACGTTTATTATTTATTTCATACTCTTTTTACTTTGTTTTCTACAATAAAAACATCTCATCGTAGCTTGTTGACACAATTAAATGACAAATGTGATGACAAATGGAAATAGAGGTTACGTTAAATAACATCCGGTCCGCCATATTATTTGCACAAATCGGCCAATTTTTCGGAACGATTTTTATTGGGCTATATCCTATCCAGTAAAATAATACAGATCAGTGATGTAGATCGATGAAATATTTGAGCCTTAGCCATCAATATCAAAATTTAATTCAATGCCGTGGACATCAAACAAGAAATCACCCCAAATCTTCAAAGGTCCAAACGTGTATAAGTTTAATTTAAGCTCGAAAGTTACATTCATATATCACAGTGCCCAGGTGATGAATAAGAATTTAATAACTACAAGTGCTGACAAATCAATAAAACAACATCGGATGGCAAATTTTATCCACCCTCAAATTCGCCTTGATAGTAAGACACCAAAAGGATGATGCTTCAACTTCAATTTTTTCAAACTGATTGCCTCTCCAAGTCGCCAAACTTTTATATTGGTCTTGAGCACTTATATAGGTCGATTTTGTTACAGAAAACATTTTTGATAGGTTTGTTTTATAATTATTTAATTATTTAAATGGTATAAATGCATATTTGTTTGAGTATTTCTATGTTTAAATAGACAAATTATATGATGCGGCGTTAATTCACTGTAATAAAAAAAAATAAATAAAATAAATTGCATTTTATTTCAAGTTTGAAATTAATGCAAAAATATAATAAAGAAAATCAAACAAAACAAATAAATTGGCAAAATATTTGACTAGTTTCAAATCACAAAACAGTCAATATGGTTGTTTTATGATTTGAAACTAGTCAAATATTTTGACAATTTATTTTTTTTGTTTGATTTTCTTCATATTTTTGCGCGACTAGCAGAAAGTTAAATTTCAAAAAGCCCGCGTTAAGCGGCCATATTGAATTTTAGTACCACTCCAATTCGATAGATAGCAGCACATCGACTCAGAATATTACCATTGAGTTTCCCATCTATTCACTTTACCTAATCTATGGTATGTGGTCGATATTTACAGTTAAAGATTTCTATAAATATTTGCACTAATTCTATCTTTAGCCAAGAGATAACAGCACCTCCTGGATATAATCGAATTTGGCGCAAATTTGTTCAGAAATCAGTAGTTCCTCGCCTTAAAATCAGAAAGAAAAAAAATTTAATAGCAAAATGAGAGATACCTATCTTGGTGATGTACCAGCTTGCTAGATGAACATTTCAAAGTAATAGGTGATGTCTAACATTACGGTGTCGGTATAAGAGGGGTGTATATTGATATTATTGTAATAAAATAATGAAATAGAAAGTGTAAACAAGAAAAACTTATATAGGGTACATAATTTGTTATTTTGTATTTATTTAATTTAAATTATGAACGGTAGGTATTACATTTATAATATAATAATGTTTGATTTATCAAAAATATATACATTCAGATACAATACAATAGAAAATAAAATGTAAATAAACAAGAAATGTGTCATTGAGTCTGTACACTGTACAAGTTACAATGACAGATTGTGAGTGACAGAAAGTAAGACAAATAATAATAAATAAAACATATCCATATAATAATAATTTGATAATATGAAGCAGATAAAATTAAGAGCAAGAAAATTCAATATTATTAATATAAATAAACATTATACAAATACAATCTTATATACTTCTGACATTAAAGTAAAATTTATTTACATTATACCTCGACATACCTCATACAACAAACATTACTTCTACCTACGACCTACACACACGAAAAACATTTTAAAAATATTTAGATTCTTTAACGTTTGTAATATACCTACTTTCTAATTATTTAATTTCTATATCTTTTTTATTCGATTGTATTACGAAAAAAAGTTTGCGGTGTTTTTGTTATAAATTCTTATACATATTTTTAAATTTTTTTGTTGTTTTTGTTTGGAATATTTTGGTCACAAAAACCGATAACTATTTTGTCCGATTTATTCATTCGTGGTAGCAAATACTTGTCTCTGCTTCTTGTGTGATAATTCGTTATATTGTAAAAAAAAATATGAGTAGAGATTGTAGGAAAAATGCAAGTAGAGGTAATTTTTTTAACATTGTAAATTAATGAATTCTATTCAAACCGATGAAACGAGTCAGATTTGGCTTCATAAACGGATAACATTCATTTAAACAATTTCTTTGGATATGTTCATTTATTTACAAAATTTTAGCATTTGCAGGATTCGCTTGGTATAACTCTCTCCAAATTTTAACTCTGTCGTTTTCCGGATTAATATCTAGTGTTAACTTTTTATCGATATCTAAAAAGTTAACAGAATTTGCTTCGACAGGTTTCCAGGTAACTTCCAAATCGCTATTTTCCGGAGTTGGATTTCCATATCTTGCAAAATTTGTCCATAGCTTGACAAAACGTCTGACGTAGGCATCTTCAGGGCTGTCCTTCTTAGGAAGTGAAAGGGTCGTTTTAAACAGATAACCAACATCGTCCAAATGACTTACACCTAAAAATTAGTATTATTTATTAGATAGTACACTGACAGATCTTGAAAGATTAACCTTATTTAATTCTGATTTAAATTATGACCATTAATGTATAGTTTTCCAAATAAACTTGGTCAAAAATTCTACTTTTAAGTTAGGTCAATTCCAGGTATCCACAGAATGAAATGCTAAAGAAGTATAGTTTTGTGAAAAAGTTCAAAACCACAGAGCTGGGCTGCAAGAAAGAATGGAGCCAAGAATCCATCGAGCTTGCAATCGAAAGACATGCTATTTAGTGGTATATAAACGGTTTCAATACCATAGAAGGAACTGGAATAGGAGTTTATGAGCCGAGAACCAAGCAGTCCGAAAGCTTGGGAAAATACCCAAGCATCTTCCAGGCGGACATTCGCCCCATCGAGAAGTGTATCCAGTTTAACATCGAGAGAAACTATCATAGACAAGAGATTATCATCATGTCCAATAGCCAAGCAGCCATCATAGCGCTGAGCTCATTCGTAATCAGTTCAAAAATGGCCTGTAGATGCCTAGAACAATTGAATGAGCTAGACGAGAAAAAGTTAATCTCACTTGGGTCCCAGGACATAACGGGGTACAGAATATCGCAGATAGTCTTGCAAGGAAAGGGGCTCAAACACCTTTTGTAGGACCTGAGCCGTTCTGCGGTATCAACAGTAACATAATATTAGGAGAGACAAAAAAAAAAATAATATTAAAATATAATAGAAATAGTTTCAGAACTGATTCTCAAATGGCTCGGTAATAGTTATTTTAACACAGCGAGAAGAAACGTGAACCGTTGACAAATAGAACATACTAGCTTTCAAAAATATAGTTACATAATTTACCTTTATCCTCTATTTTACATGTTCTTTTAAAGTAATTACGACCTGAATCTATGGATACCCTGTATAAATATACAGGTTTATCAGAAGTTTTGGCGTGGTTTATTGCAGCTCCAATAACGTGCATTGTCATGAAGGCATCTGATAATAACTAAAAAGAAAAGAAATACTTTAACTTTTTATTTATACAAGGCGTTTAATAGGTAAATGCTTAGACTAGGTAATAAAGAGAGGACGCGATATTAGTAGAGATTAAACGCTAAGAAATTCCTTCTAAAAACGATTTTCGTTTGCACTTCATTGCTAAAATGTAATACCTCTTTTATATTATTCCTTATACCATAAAAAAGCAAAATCACCTGGTCGTCAAAAAATCGTAGTTAGGGGTGGTTTTACAAAAACATAGCAATATTTTTTTTTTTTAATTTACGTCTACACAACATTTTTAATCATCTGCAAAAGTTTTTTTTCAAAATTCCAAGAGAAAGTATTTTATTTTTAATTTTAAATTATCTGCCCAAACGTTTTAATATGGAGTTTCTTAATATAAAACGGCTCGCGCTAAAACATCAAAAATGCAATATCATTTACACCGTGAAAACACAAGAATGAAAATTCTAACCAAAAACACTTTCTATAAACGTTGTAAAGCAAGGATCAAGGATTAAAACACTTCTAAGATTATAAAAATATATTATATAGTTTCGTCAAAAAACTGTAAAATGTAAAAGCATGTCGTGACAACCGCGCTCTGATGCAGAGCTGCGGGGATGGATGAAATTCGCTTGGCAGGCTGTTGTATCTGCATGTAACGCCGCCCGTATATATTTTAGAGTCTAGATGGTTGCTTTTCGTTTAAAACAGTAGAAGGTACCTACTTAGAAGGTACCTACTTAGAAGGTACAAGTGTGCGCCATTAACATTACAGCATATTTCAAATGAGTAAAGCGTTGATGTTTTTATGGTTAAACATATTGTGTTGTTATTTTACGTTATTGTGATTCTCAACTTTTAGTTACAATAAGTATCCCTGTTAACTGTTTTACAGAATTATTCGAACATTATAATATTTAAGCTGCTTTGCATTTTATTAATAAATACAGGTAAGTTCCTACATATGCTATTTGTAATGCTCAGTAGTAATAATTCCTAGGAATGGGTACATAAAAAATGTGTTTTCCAAAAGCGATGATCGCCTTTTAGTTATATCAACTAATGAAGTTGAATCTGATACTGTCTAAACTTCTTTATTAAATGTGAATTAAATTGGCGATCAAGCTTTAAGAAAATTTTTAGAAGTAGTTGGTACTTATAAACCAATAAAAAAAATATTCTTCAAACACTACAGCGCACTGGCGTTAAAGTAGCTACCGTTGATAAGAAAAAAACTTCCCAAAAAGGTCAAAAATGTTTGCAGAAAATATTGACAGCAAAAGAATGGGAAGAAATATTAAATATGAAGATATTTTTAAACATGAATTGACGACTTATCCAATATCACTGGCACCTACAGGAATATTATCTACCCGTTGACGATATACTGACTACTTCTACTGGCACTAGTAGACAGTTAAATTCTTTATTAGTGTTTATCAATACTATACACCCTAATATTAAATTTACTATGGAAACAGAGAAGGATAATTCAATTAATTTTTTAGACTTAAATATTATTAAAATTAATAAAGGCCATAGTTTTGGGATATTTCATAAGCCATCACATACTGATATTACAATAAATAATAGTTCATCTCATCCATACAAACAAAAGCTGGCAGCATACAACAGTATGATCCATAGATTAGTTAATATCCCCCTTACCAAAGAGAACTTCGCAAAAGAATTAAATATCATTATACAAATGGTAGTAAACAATAATTTTAATTCAAAGTTAGTAGACAACATTTTAGAGAAAAAACTTTTTAAACATGCTATTCAACAATTTTATCCCATAATTAAAGATCAAAATTGCAGATATAAGTGTCTTACATATATAGAAGCTCCTAGTGAAAAGGTATCATCATATTTAAAAAACCAAAATATTAACGTAGCTTTTAAAACCAATAATACGGTTGGGAAGTATATTTAAAACAATAAGGGTAAAATTAATCCTAATAATAAATCGGGGATAAATAAATTAAATTGTGGTAGTTGTCCAAAATTGTATATTGGTCAAACAGGCCGTACTTTCAAAAAGCGCTATTCCGAACATTATAATATAGCAATACAAAAACAAAAATAATTCTACTTACTCAAATCATATTTTAGCTGAAAATCATTCTTTTACAGACAACTTTGAAATTTTACATATAGAAAATAAGGGCATTAAACTAAACCATTTAGAAACACTTGAAATAAATAGATTTAAAAATTCAGATAACCTACTTAATGATCAATTAGATATTAATAACTCACCCTTATTAAATCTCTTTCCTAGTTTTCTGTGAGATAATCCCGGTGATGTTACTATCTTATTGTTATCTGATTGATATCATAATTACCTAAGTACCCTTATTTACTTTAAATAGTTAGTTTATTTTGTTATGTTATTGATGTTTTCTTAAGTACTTTGTTTTGTTTAATTATTTCGCATATATATTGGATACCGAATTGTAAATTAGTCACATTTGAAAAAGAAGTTGTACTTCGAAACATGTCATGTACAGTGTTTTCAATTTTTATTTTTTAAAATAAAAGTTTTGTGAAAATATACCAAATATGGTTTTACTTATTCAAGCATTACTTTTAGTTCAACCATCGTTAACCAACCTAAATTGTATAAAATTGCATAGTAGTGACTATTAAAAAAAAAAGATTGTAACTGCCCCTTGATAGAAAAAGTTTCTCAAATTAAATACCTAGGTGTAATACTTGATTAATACATGCGTTGATCTGAACATATTGTCCATGTTAGTAATAGACTGAAAGCCCTAATGCACAAATTTTATATTCTCCAGGGTATTCTTTCAAAGAAAAACATAATGATACATTATAACTCCCTAGTGGAATCTATATTAAGGTATTGCATAGTAGCATGGGGTGCAGCGTTTAACACCACTATTAAAATTGTAGAGACAACACAAAATAATTGACAAGGGGGGTAGCCATGTGTGAGTTGAAGTAATTTTAAGGTGAAGGGGGGAGAAAAAGTCCTTTATATCTCACAAGGAAAGTCCAATGTTTAATTATTCAACAAAAACATTGAGTGCGACCGGTTTCGAAGTAACATCACTTCATCTTCAGGCTCGCCTAGTGGAAAGGAGAATATGTGGTGTAAGGTGTGTTGATTTTGAGCCCACAATATATAAAATAGTAAAAATTGAAAAACTCACCATACTCTCTATTCCCTAGTGGATGGAGAGTATGGTGAGTTTTTCAATTTTTACTATTTTATATATTGTGGGCTCAAAATCAACACACCTTACACCACATATTCTCCTTTCCACTAGGCGAGCCTGAAGATGAAGTGATGTTACTTCGAAACCGGTCGCACTCAATGTTTTTGTTGAATAATTAAACATTGGACTTTCCTTGTGAGATATAAAGGACTTTTTCTCCCCCCTTCACCTTAAAAAAAACACAAAATAATATTTTAAAAATTATCCTAAAAAAGAGACCATTTACTACAAATAAATTGTACGACGAATCGAACATACTAAACGTCAAATTACGTTTTGCTTATTAATGTATAATGAAAATCAATATGGAGATTCCTGTACAATTTTTCAAAAAATCACGTAGTCAAAGGTCATCATCATTCTTTGGCCCAAATTTTTTTAACATAATTCCGATACACCTCAGGCAAATAATAAAAAAAAAAGTTTAAAATTGAAATAAAAAAATATTTAATAACAAATAAAGAAAATACGATCTAATGATAACTTAGTATAAATAAAAAAACATATCAGAAGCCATGAGGCACATGCGCTTCGTCGTTTTTGTCTACTTTTCCTAAGGTACAGTCTACTTTTTATTTATCTTTTTATTTATTGGTTTATTCTGTCGAATTTCTTCGTCCCTTGTTCTTATATTTAAATATTGTATCTTTTGTTAAGTGATAAATAATTATATGTAAAACTCAATACCTGTTTCTAAAAAAAAATATGTACATAAATAGAGTCATCTGATTGATCAGAAGCAAAACAGGCAGAAATGCCTAGGTTCAATGCCTTATCAGATGTCTTTAAAGAACTTTTTTTTATATAACTATTTTTTTTGTTACTGTTAGGTAATGTGTTTTAATATTTAAACAAATAAATTTGATTTGATTGATGATTTTAATATAAATATTTGTTTTTTTAGTAATAATGCGCAATTTAACCTTAACATATATAAACACAACAATTACGTAGATACTAACCAGCAATTCGGATTCAGCTTTTTCATATAAGTTCTTCAGTTTTCCTGATAAGTTTTTAAAAATTTCACTATCTTTATCGGCTTGTAATAGACTGCTTGTCCAATATTCATGATTAAAATTTTGCAATATTTGCGCCAATTCCTCCTGTGTACTTAAACCCTTGAAAAAAAGCATTTCAAGCGAACAATATCCAATCATTATGGGAACTTTATTGTATTCTCCTGAAGTTATATATTCAATTGGTGGTTTTGTTATAATAGCGTTAGGATTTGGATTTTCTACAACTGGAGAAAATGAACCTCTGAACAACTGCAAAATAAATGAATAATAAAATAAATGTACAAATGATTAATGCATAAGCACAAAGTATATTTAAACATACATATTAGTTATTTATGTACCAAGGGTATAAATAGACATCTGTTTATGCCTGCGGTACATACAAACTTTTATGTCATACTAGTTCATTATTGCAATCCAATCTCAATATAAATCAGTATTTTAAAAAATTCGGTTTGAACTAATAAAATTGCCATTTTATCATAGTAGACACTATCGTTGCTAGGTGAATGTTGACAAACGTAAATGTCATAAAGTCACAATAATTTTTATATGTGTCAAAGTTAGAAGTCAAAATGAACGAAGATTTGTGAATTCCTGACGAAATTATTGAAAAAGCAAAGAAAGCAACTGAAAATCTGTTGCTAAAAAAGTCTAAAGAAGCTTACTACATGGAATACGAAAAATTATTTTCTCTTTATGCTCGCGCGGGCCATAAAGTGAACTTTATGCCCGCACGGGCATAAAGTACGATATTAGATAGTTGGTAACTAAGCAATAAAAACACAATAATGAACTAGTATGACAGAAAATATATTAAAATCAATTTAATAAATTAATTTTCTCCAAGATATCACCGTCTTAAACCAATCTTTTAAATCTTTTTCAAATATGAATGGTAAAAATATATGTGACAAAGTAAAGATACTAATTATTGAAATGCAATTTTTTTAATGTTTTTAAATAAACGTTATTGATTATTTTTTTTAAATGCTAATATTTATAATTATGAAACAATTTACTCCTTTTCTCAGATATACACCTATTATTAATAATTAGGTATTCTCATTATAAATATCTGAATATAAATAATCATTTTTAATTTATATTTTTTGCCTTTTCTGGAATAAACTTAAAAAAACTAAAGAAAAATTATAATTGAAAAGTTAATGATAAATTTGGAGAATATTTTAGGCAATTTAAAATTATAAAAAAACAATAATATATCGATGTTAGTAATTCTGGATTCGAGAATAAAGAACACTTGCGCAGCATATGATATTAACAAAAGATTAAAAGAACCGATAATTGGAATAATCTCTTGGGGTTAAGATAGGGTAAGGTAGTTCTGGTAGAATATAACCAGAAATAATCGGAAGCCTGCAGTAGCCTGAGCAAAAACAGACTACACATTGTAGCTGGGATCCTAACCAGGTATTACTGACTGAAAGGACACCTTAGTAAACTAATAGTAGTAGAGGATGATAGTGAGTGCATAGTCGGTGAGGAGAATGACGAAACCTCCATTCACAACTTGACTGAATGTGTTGCAATCCAGAATCCTTAGGAGCATACCAAATCCCACACTTCCAGAATTGGTAGAGAAACCTAAACAAGTACCAGAAAGTGAGGGTTTATATTCAAAAACGTATCTATTTTCTGATTATGCCTAGTCCATGGAAAACTAAACTTTCTTCAAACATCTCTTCTTTGGAAAATAAACTTACTTCTGATATTTCTTTTTTAAAAATGGTATTACTTTCTTAGAAGTTTCGTCTGGCATTTCTTCTTTAGAAGAAAATGTGTCTTCTGACATATCTTCTTTAAAAACTGAAATTTCTTCTGATTTAGAAAACAAAATCTGTTCTTTGAAAGATGAAAATTTTTCTGATATGTCTTCTCTAAAAAATGAAATTATTACTGATGTGAAAAATAAGATGACTTCCTTTGAGTAGAAAATTAAAGAGACGAAAAAGATGATAAAGAAAATATAACATACAGAACAGCAAGGAAGATGAAATAAAGTCTCATAAAATGGAGTCAAAGCTGAAATTTGAACGAACTGTAAAATCTGCTCGTGTTTAAACCCCAGCTTTCTATGGAAAGATGGCATAGACTTACTTAAAATGGCTGCAAAAGCAAACGAATGGCCTAAAAGAGAAAAATCAGTAAATCTGACCATCGCCCTTCAAGCAGATGCTTTGGATGTTCTTTAGTCTATATCTGTGGAAGAGACAGATGATTTTGAATGATTTAAAAAGAGAATAAAAATGCGGTGTGTCCACTAACACTTGGAGCATTTCTACCAATAACAGTTAAAGAATTGCAAACAGAAACGAGACAAAACTTTTTAAGAATATGAAGTAAATTTCCAGGTTAGTGCGATTTGTAGACCCATAAGCTCCAGAAAACCTGATGGAATTTTTGGCAGTCCAAACATTTTTTGATGGACTCCGTGACCATAATATGCAAAAAACGCTTAGCTTGTCACAAAACATTGGTCGATGTCTTGTCGCTGCTCTAGAGTATGAGGCAGTTACGTAGGTTTCTAGAGGATAAAGTAAAGTGGGAACTGTAAAAGAAGAAGAAGCGGAAGATAAACTCGACAAAATAATATAATGAAGAATGTTAGTAACAAAAAGATAAAGAGCAAGATTAGGTGCTGTAATTGCAGCGAACTGGGACATGTACGCAGTTCGTGCAAAAGCCGTAGACAAAATAAACAAGACAACGCAGAAAAATTAGAGCTAGTCGGCCTAGAGAGGCAGCTTCGACCCAGAACCGTTCCAAGGACCCTCTCATACAGAAAACCTCTTTAAAATGTCTCGATGATAGTGTGTACATAGATGGCATAGAAAGTATATACAGTTGATGGATAATGCAGCAAACAGGATCATTATACAATACACAAACAAACAATCGCAAGAGACTTCTACCAACAAGTTTGCTACTGCGGACTGCCACAAGTAAAAGTGTCAACATCCACGGAGAAATCAAGGTTCAATTAGAAATTGGTACAGAAAAATTCATTCATATTGTTATTGCCGCTAATATCAAAGATGTTTTACTTGAAATGGATGTACTAAACTTACATAGTTTGCAATTGTATTTTAAGAACAGAGCAATCAAAGTTGGTGCCAAAGAGGTTTTTCTTCATCCATATGAAAACAGTACCGTGCTAGTAGCTGTAGAGGAAGATACGGTGGTACCTGGTAGAAGTGAAACCATTACAGTAGCACAGCTTTAAGAAACCATGAAAGAAGAAACACGTGTCATAATGGAACCTTGGAAGCACGATAAAGAGGTTGGTTGAGGACTTCTGATCGTAAAAGGGTTGGTTCGGTACGTCTCATAAATATTAATGATCTCCCAATTAACCATAAAAAAAGAGACCAGAATCGGAACCTGTATACCAGTAACTTCCATAACTCGTCAGACAACAACTTCTAATAATTTTGACGATAAATTCGAATAAATGATTGCAGTTGCTGGTCAATTTCTGAGTCAATTAGAGAAAAGGAAAATAAAGGAAATTCTTCAAAGATATACTGAGTAAAGGGGCTAGGAGAGTTGTAGAGCAAATCTTACGTAAATTAACATGGGAAATTAATAAGATTAATTTTGACAATTTTTGTTCATAAGGTCACGTGTCATGACGTCACCAGCCAACTGTTGCTAACCTGATCTAACATAACACTACCTGTCAACTTTTTTGGTTTTGATCAGCTTTTAATCAGGTTTTGACACATACTTTGATTACTATACGGTGCAAGAAAGAGGTTTGACACGCCCAATATAGGGAGCGGCCATTTTGATTCTTATGCCACAGTTTATAGCTAAAGAATCAGATCGCTCACTCTGCGTCGGCACTTTTGATCTCAATGTTCCAGTTTATACACTGCGCAACTCGGATAATATAATATATGACAACCGCCTATAATAAAACAGCAGTCTTCTGCGAATCCTGAATTTGTATCCCTGGAGTGGTAGTTATTTTGGAACTTTCAACTGGTCCGAGTGAGCTAACTGATTTTTTAGCAATAAACTGTGACTACAAAAATAATATTCACTGACACTGACAGCAGCAAGCAAAATATCAGGTGCGTTTTAATCATCCGCTTCTGCTTCCGGATGGTCGGTTTAGTCGTTTTAACCTGTCAGATTAAAACAAGAAAACCGACAATTCCGAAGCAGAAGCGGATGATTAAAACGCACCTATTAAAAATATTGCGCCAAGATGTAGACAACACGTAATAAGGGATCAAAATGGCGAAGTTTTCTATCTCCTTTTAAAAGGTACTCAGAAAGCTGCGCAGTGCGACCATTCTCCGTATAGTAAAAGAAAATAAAAGTATGTGGGTTTTGATCAGCCACATTTGTATAGCTGACAGATAATGTTAAGTTAGGTCAGGTTGGGTTAGGTTAGCAACAGTTGGCTAGAGACGTCATGATATGTGACCTTGATATGGACACAAATTGGCAGAATGAACCTTAGCAATGTCCCATGTTGCTTTACATAAGATTTGCACTACATCTTTCCTGGCCCCTTTTATTATAGTGACATTTTTGTACCAAAAGGAGGAAAAACAGAAAGTACGTCTGTTGTAATACATAAAATTGTTATAAATACCTAAACTTTTTTTTAATTAGTTACAAGCTTAGTCAATTTTTCCAGATATAGAGTAAATAGTTTTAAGTGATTTGGTCAATAAAAATAAAAATGAGATTTTTTTGACTTGGTCACTTTTGGCAGTAAGCCTTATTCATTTGGAATGTCTTGTTAGGCTTCGATTGTTATTTCTTAACGACTAGTGATGTAAATGGCCCTTATGTGACCAACATTAAGGGGAATTCTTTATGTAAAAGTTTTTGAAACAAAATATCGTTATCTACCTACAACCTTTTAAAACCGTTGTTTTTTACAACCCATAATTTTTTCCAAATAATAAACCAGTTCAACTTTATATACCGTCAAACGGGGTGACTTCGGCCATTTGGGGTCGCTTCGGACAACAGGTAGATTTTTTGAATATGCATTCACAGCGGCAACAGTGTAAAAGATAGCCCATATTAGTATGTTACCAAAATGTTTACAACTTAGTTGCCGTTAGATAAAGGTGTGTTGCGGTCGCACGTCGTGATCAGTTTTCCGTTTCAGGTAATTTTTGTTTTGGTAAGAATTTCTTAATTCAAAAGATACTGAAAAGTAAGTTGTGCCCACCTCATTTGCATATTTTAGTACAATTTTTGTTTATACTAGTAGGAAGGGTGATGTTTTGAGAATATTTTAGCCAGGAGTTCGTTTGTTTATCTTTACACACATTTCATATACAGGGGTGATAACAAAATTATACGTTTTTAGGGGGCGACTTCGGACATGGGCAGAATTTATAAGAAAGTGGTAGGTGGTAGAAGCTACCAAAATTATAAACCAGAAAAACTAGAAAATGCCATCCGTGATGTGAAAACCCACAGGAAAACCATACAGCAATCTGCTGAATATTATGGTGTACCTAAATCGACTATTAGCGACAGAATTAAGAATGTTAATGTCAAAAAAGTCGGCGGCCAGACAATACTATCGTCAGAAGAAGAAGAAGGAAGGCTGGTTGTGGCCATTAACCTGGCGGCAGAATGGGGATTTCCTCTTTCTCCGTACGATGTCCGAATGATAGTCAAACAATATCTAGACAGGAGAGGGGTGAATATAAAAAAATTCCGAGATAACCTTCCGGGACACGATTGAGTAAAATCATTTTTATCCCGACACCGTAATCTTACGACAAGATTTTGTCAAAATATAAAGAGATGTAGGGCACAAGTAAGTGAAGGCACTTTAATGGAATATTTTCGTGAGCTCCGAACATCCCTGGAAAATGTTTACCCATCGCTAATAATTAACTATGACGAAACTAATTTTAGTGATGACCCGGGAAAAGTCAAGGTGATTTGTAAAAGAGGATCGAAACATTGCGATCGAATAATGGATTCGTCTAAATCTAGCGTAAGTGTAATGATGTCGGCTTCAGCAAGTGGCGACCTTCTTCCATCCTTCGTGGTGTATAAGGCTAAGCATCGGTATCAAGAATGGGAAGAAGATGGACCGAATGGATGTGGTTACAGTGTGAGCAGCTCAGGATGGTTCGATTCAACAGTTTTTTTGGAATGGTTTCGCCAGATAGCTTTACCTTATTTCAGAAAAAAGGATGGGCCGAAAATTTTAATTGGTGATAACTTGTCCAGTCACTTAACAGTAGAAGTTATTAAGGAATGTGCACGTCAGAATATAAAATTCATCCTACTTCCACCAAATGCTACCCACCTTTGCCAGCCGCTGGATGTTGCTTTTTTTGCGTCCCTTAAGAAAACATGGAGGAGAATTCTGACTGAGAGGAAGTCCAAAGGAAAAGGTCCATTTCAGAAAAAAGATTTTCCAAAACTTCTCAGGAAATCTTTAGAAGCAATTGAAGCAAATTCAAAGAAAAACGTGTTGTCCGGATTTCGCGCATCGGGCATTTGGCCCAACAATCCACAGGAAGTTCTAAAACGTCTGCCTCAAAGACTTATGACTGAAGATAATCCCCCAGGCGGTGAAATAGATAAATCGCTACTGGCATTTCTTAAAGAAAATAGAAACCCTGAATTGCAAATAAGAACAAACAGGCGCAAACGAGTCAATGTTCCACCAGGAAGGCCAGTCATCCTTGCAGATATGAATGTTGAATTCGAAAACGAACCACCAGAAAATATTCCTTCCACGTCTGGAGTACAAAAACCTAGAAAGTGCCAGAACATTCCATCTGATTCCGATTTATTTGATGAACATTTTTTACCAGCTGACGCATTTGATTCGGAAGAAGGAATTACTTCCGAGAAACCAAGAGACCATTCTTCAAATGAAGATATTAAGATAAATGATTTTACCCTAGTTAAACTTCCCATAGAAAATTCTTTAAAAAGCAAATTCTTTGTTGCACAAATTTTAAACGTAGAAGGTGAAAATTACCTGGTAAAATTTCTTCGACAAAAAAATTTTGGGGCTGATGTTTTCTTTTCTTTTCCAAACGTGTCTGACGAGAGCATTATTGGAAAATTTGAAATTGTTCAAACGGTTTCTCCTTCACATTTTCGAAGAGGTTGTTATAAGTTTTCCACTTTACCTGATGTTGTTATAGAGTAGATTACAGTTGTATTTATGACATAAAAATTTACTTTTCTAGAATAACCTGTTTAGTTTTGTTATATAAGGATTATTATGTTTGATTTTTAAAATAAATAAATCTTTTTTATGATAAAATGATGTTCTTCTTATAACAAATAATTTTCCTACTAGTGTAGACGATTAAAAAAAGAAAATGTTTGTCCGAATTAACCTCTGCAACCGTTAAACATCGGTTTTACGTAGTTTTATATGGCCGTCCGAAGTCACCCCACTCGATGGGGTGACTTCGGACAGTTTTTAATAAAAAAAATATAATAACTGGAAAAAAATTAGAAACATTTGACATTGTCAAAATGTAACTAGATGTTAGGGGCATCTTAGCCGAAATTTGCAGAATTTTAGTTCTCTTGGTTTTTAGTTTGTGATTAAGAAAGTTGCAGAAAGTGTCCGAAGTCACCCCGTTTGACGGTACCTACTTAATCTCTTTTTTAATAATTTATTTCATTAATCGTCTATTTATACTCCCCTATTATTAGTATTTGCATTAGTATTATGATTAAGGATTAAGTTGAACCTTCACAATGTAATGGGGATATTTATACTCGATTTATGATTATTACTAGCATTAACATTTATCCTTAATAATTGACAGGTTTAACTTTTATGTTAAATCTTAAATTTCTTCTTTTCTATCATATGAACCAATGACGTATTTAGGCTTCGATTTTAATAGACAACGGATAATGACAACTGACAATACCCATATGAGTATATTGTCAGATGTTGTTTATAGGTTAGCTCGAAAACCATAATATTTTGGTACAAATCATGCGCTGTATACCATTTTTGTGTATCAGCAGTGTTTACCGAGTATAAAGTTGACAAATCACATGTCATCACGAGGAAGCAAAGGCCTCTTTTCTGTCTGAATTGTCTCAAATTTCTGCTTCTTATCAATTTGAAACGTAAGTTCGTTACAATGTCCTTAATTAAACCTATTTTTAAATAATAATATTTTTAAATAAAATTAACTAGTAAAAATATTAATAAAAACTAAAATATCTTAAAAACTATTCTAAGAACACAACTGGTATCTTAACACATTTTTTTAGTAACCTACATTTTGTTGACTGCAAAATTATATTTTCTTAGGAAAAATATTATTAAAAAAGAAGTACTAATAATAATTAGAAAACGGGTATAAATACCCTTTTTAAATATTTTTTCCAGTTTAATGCTTTATCATAATACTAATACAAATACTAATAATAAGGGAGTATACATAGACCCTAAGTAATTTTAATATGCATTACGTTAGCTTCTTTTTCCTGGATTGCAAACAGCTCCTCCAATGACAAACTCCTCAAATACGCCAAAGCTTCTTTTTCGCTCAATCCTGCTTTACCATTGGCAGCCAATATACTATCCAAGAATGGATATCCCATCGCCCAAACGTTCAAGGCGGATCCACTTTGAATAATTGCTCTATGAAAGAGGCCCTTCGCGGCTGGAGAAATAACCAAAAAATGCACTGACGCCGCGCCAGCGCTTTCACCGAAGATCGTTACGTTATTGGGGTCTCCTCCAAAGTTTTTGATGTTTCTTTTTACCCATTTCAGCGCTACTACTTGGTCCTTCAAGCCAGCATTTCCGAATACTTCTAATGAGGGATCTTCTAACTTGAGGGCTCCTGTTAATGAGAGGTATTATAAATATTTGTAAAGGATGTTTCGCGAATTATCGGTAATCATTATTTTAAATTTATCCATATAAAACTCAATGATTAGTTAGAAAGTGGTTTTTATTGGATAAAGATATGATTTGATGTTAAGGACATGGAAATATACTATTATATCATAATAATAGAAAGTTTTTGTTCAATTTTAAAGCACTTTTCGCGACTCTGAACTATCTAAATAGTGCCATGTCCCTTTAATTTACAAAAATAAAATGCAATAATTGATAGTATTGTACCTTTTGTTAGTTTTAGACGCACAATATCAGTGATTATATTTGTCTTATAATATTTTTAAAACAAATCTTAGGCTGATAAATATACGCATGCCAAGTGTTTACTCATATACTATAGAAGATAACATCCTGTATAGTTAATTTATAAGTGAAAAAATGTAGACTTACCTAATAACCCTAATCGATAATTAATAGAAACCAGTACTACATTTTCTAGCATTAAAAATTCAGGTCCGTACATATGTGTGTTGTTAAAACCTTCCCTAAAACCACCTCCATGGATCCACACCATTACCGGGTTCAGTTTAGATCCTTGAGGAATTGGCTGAAAATAAACATTTTAAATTGTATTTAAATTGTCTTTAAATTGTCTTTTAATTGTCTTTTAATAGTCTTTTAATAGTCTTTGCTCTTTATTGTCTTTTAATAGTCTTTGTCTTTTAATTGTCTTTTAATTGTCTTTTAATTGTTTTTAATTGTCTTTTAATTGTCTTTTAATTGTCTTTTAATTGTCTTTTAATTGTCTTTTAATTGTCTTTTAATTGTCTTTTAATTGTCTTTTAATTGTCTTTTAATTGTCTTTTAATTGTCTTTTAATTGTCTTTTAATTGTCTTTTAATTGTCTTTTAATTGTCTTTTAATTGTCTTTTAATTGTCTTTTAATTGTCTTTTAATTGTCTTTTAATTGTCTTTTAATTGTCTTTTAATTGTCTTTTAATTGTCTTTTAATTGTCTTTTAATTGTCTTTTAATTGTCTTTTAATTGTCTTTTAATTGTCTTTTAATTGTCTTTTAATTGTCTTTTAATTGTCTTTTAATTGTCTTTTAATAGTCTTTGTCTTTTAATTGTCTTTTAATTGTCTTTTAATAGTCTTTGTCTTTTAATTGTCTTTTAATTGTCTTTTAATTGTCTTTTAATTGTCTTTTAATTGTCTTTTAATTGTCTTTTAATTGTCTTTTAATTGTCTTTTAATTGTCTTTTAATTGTCTTTTAATTGTCTTTTAATTGTCTTTTAATTGTCTTTTAATTGTCTTTTAATTGTCTTTTAATTGTCTTTTAATTGCCTTTTAATTGTCTTTTAATTGTCTTTTAATTGTCTTTTAATTGTCTTTTAATTGTCTTTTAATTGTCTTTTAATTGCCTTTTAATTGTCTTTTAATTGTCTTTTAATTGTCTTTTAATTGTCTTTTAATTGTCTTTTAATTGTCTTTTAATTGTCTTTTAATTGTCTTTTAATTGTCTTTTAATTGTCTTTTAATTGTCTTTTAATTGTCTTTTAATTGTCTTTTAATTGTCTTTTAATTGTCTTTTAATTGTCTTTTAATTGTCTTTTAATTGTCTTTTAATTGTCTTTTAATTGTCTTTTAATTGTCTTTTAATTGTCTTTTAATTGTCTTTTAATTGTCTTTTAATTGTCTTTTAATTGTCTTTTAATTGTCTTTTAATTGTCTTTTAATTGTATTTTAATTGTCTTTTAATTGTCTTTTAATTGTCTTTTAATTGTCTTTTAATTGTCTTTTAATTGTCTTTTAATTGTCTTTTAATTGTCTTTTAATTGTCTTTTAATTGTCTTTTAATTGTCTTTTAATTGTCTTTTAATTGTCTTTTAATTGTCTTTTAATTGTCTTTTAATTGTCTTTTAATTGTCTTTTAATTGTCTTTTAATTGTCTTTTAATTGTCTTTTAATTGTCTTTTAATTGTCTTTTAATTGTCTTTTAATTGTCTTTTAATTGTCTTTTAATTGTCTTTTAATTGTCTTTTAATTGTCTTTTAATTGTCTTTTAATTGTCTTTTAATTGTCTTTTAATTGTCTTTTAATTGTCTTTTAATTGTCTTTTAATTGTCTTTTAATTGTCTTTTAATTGTCTTTTAATTGTCTTTTAATTGTCTTTTAATTGTCTTTTAATTGTCTTTTAATTGTCTTTTAATTGTCTTTTAATTGTCTTTTAATTGTCTTTTAATTGTCTTTTAATTGTCTTTTAATTGTCTTTTAATTGTCTTTTAATTGTCTTTTAATTGTCTTTTAATTGTCTTTTAATTGTCTTTTAATTGTCTTTTAATTGTCTTTTAATTGTCTTTTAATTGTCTTTTAATTGTCTTTTAATTTTTAATTGTCTTTTAATTGTCTTTTAATTGTCTTTTAATTGTCTTTTAATTGTCTTTTAATTGTCTTTTAATTGTCTTTTAATTGTCTTTTAATTGTCTTTTAATTGTCTTTTAATTGTCTTTTAATTGTCTTTTAATTGTCTTTTAATTGTCTTTTAATTGTCTTTTAATTGTCTTTTAATTGTCTTTTAATTGTCTTTTAATTGTCTTTTAATTGTCTTTTAATTGTCTTTTAATTGTCTTTTAATTGTCTTTTAATTGTCTTTTAATTGTCTTTTAATTGTCTTTTAATTGTCTTTTAATTGTCTTTTAATTGTCTTTTAATTGTCTTTTAATTGTCTTTTAATTGTCTTTTAATTGTCTTTTAATTGTCTTTTAATTGTCTTTTAATTGTCTTTTAATTGTCTTTTAATTGTCTTTTAATTGTCTTTTAATTGTCTTTTAATTGTCTTTTAATTGTCTTTTAATTGTCTTTTAATTGTCTTTTAATTGTCTTTTAATTGTCTTTTAATTGTCTTTTAATTGTCTTTTAATTGTCTTTTAATTGTCTTTTAATTGTCTTTTAATTGTCTTTTAATTGTCTTTTAATTGTCTTTTAATTGTCTTTTAATTGTCTTTTAATTGTCTTTTAATTGTCTTTTAATTGTCTTTTAATTGTCTTTTAATTGTCTTTTAATTGTCTTTTAATTGTCTTTTAATTGTCTTTTAATTGTCTTTTAATTGTCTTTTAATTGTCTTTTAATTGTCTTTTAATTGTCTTTTAATTGTCTTTTAATTGTCTTTTAATTGTCTTTTAATTGTCTTTTAATTGTCTTTTAATTGTCTTTTAATTGTCTTTTAATTGTCTTTTAATTGTCTTTTAATTGTCTTTTAATTGTCTTTTAATTGTCTTTTAATTGTCTTTTAATTGTCTTTTAATTGTCTTTTAATTGTCTTTTAATTGTCTTTTAATTGTCTTTTAATTGTCTTTTAATTGTCTTTTAATTGTCTTTTAATTGTCTTTTAATTGTCTTTTAATTGTCTTTTAATTGTCTTTTAATTGTCTTTTAATTGTCTTTTAATTGTCTTTTAATTGTCTTTTAATTGTCTTTTAATTGTCTTTTAATTGTCTTTTAATTGTCTTTTAATTGTCTTTTAATTGTCTTTTAATTGTCTTTTAATTGTCTTTTAATTGTCTTTTAATTGTCTTTTAATTGTCTTTTAATTGTCTTTTAATTGTCTTTTAATTGTCTTTTAATTGTCTTTTAATTGTCTTTTAATTGTCTTTTAATTGTCTTTTAATTGTCTTTTAATTGTCTTTTAATTGTCTTTTAATTGTCTTTTAATTGTCTTTTAATTGTCTTTTAATTGTCTTTTAATTGTCTTTTAATTGTCTTTTAATTGTCTTTTAATTGTCTTTTAATTGTCTTTTAATTGTCTTTTAATTGTCTTTTAATTGTCTTTTAATTGTCTTTTAATTGTCTTTTAATTGTCTTTTAATTGTCTTTTAATTGTCTTTTAATTGTCTTTTAATTGTCTTTTAATTGTCTTTTAATTGTCTTTTAATTGTCTTTTAATTGTCTTTTAATTGTCTTTTAATTGTCTTTTAATTGTCTTTTAATTGTCTTTTAATTGTCTTTTAATTGTCTTTTAATTGTCTTTTAATTGTCTTTTAATTGTCTTTTAATTGTCTTTTAATTGTCTTTTAATTGTCTTTTAATTGTCTTTTAATTGTCTTTTAATTGTCTTTTAATTGTCTTTTAATTGTCTTTTAATTGTCTTTTAATTGTCTTTTAATTGTCTTTTACTTGTCTTTTAATTGTCTTCCTTTTAATTGTATTTTAATTGTCAAACTTAATAAAGTTATAAATTCTTATGGTGCTAACCTTTTTGGTAAAAACATTAAGATGAAGACCATCCTCGGTTCCAGAAACTATTTTAGTCATGGTGGTCAAATTGTCCTTTTGATAAAACCGTTGTCCCTCTTCAGTGGCATCTTTGACTCCATTCCAATGTTCCAAAGGTTGTGCATCCTAAATTATTAAAACATATTTTGTAATGTTCTTCTTTATTATCTACTGTTATACAAATTAGTATGTCTAATATACTGAGAGCTATTAACCGCAAAAGTGTCATCTGAAATGATTATTTTTATTTTAATTATTTATATAGTCTTTTTAACCATATTATTAATAAATTAGGAGACTTTACTTAATTTAAATAAAGAATAGCGGTACCGGTAAACTGCAGTCTAAATTTTTACAAATGCCGAATTGCAGTCTAAAGTTTTTGGTTACCGACCAGGTGCAAAAACAGACTAATTATTGCAGTCCAAATAAAGGAACAATTTTAAGTATGCATAGGCGTCCTTTAAAAATCATTTTTGAAATCTGTAGATAGTATTTCTGAGAAGATAAAATTTAAAATTTATTGTAAATTAAAAATACTTTTAAAAATCATTTTTGAAATCTGTAGACAATATTTCTGAGAAGATAAAATTTAATAGTTATTTATGCAACAAGTGCAAAAAGTTAGTGTTTATTACACGCGACGTGAAATTGTCCAACGAGGCCGTCTGGCCGAGTTGGACATAACGTCGAGTGCAATAAACACTTTTTGCAGGAGTTGCATACAATATTTTATCTACGTTCATGCAAAAACCAAAAAATGTTTTATAGAACTGCAGTTGTATTATCCAAATCGTAGTAGCCGTGTTCATATTTTTTAATGAAATTTTTAATAAAATACATTTTTTATTAATTTATTTATTAACTGATTGAAAATAATATAATATATGCAATTGTTTTTAAAACGTAACACAAAAAATGAAAATGGGCTAAATATTTGGCGTTGATTTAAATATTTATGTTTGTCATGATCATAAAACGCTGTAGTAAAATGATAGATGAGTGCAATAAATTTTTTATTGCACTAGTGCAATAAAGAACCAGTTTTTTCACTAAATATAGTTCAATAAAGTTTTGTTTTTTGCATGAACGTAGAAAAAATGTATTTTAAACTAAAAATCCTTTTTAAAATATGGAGATTACTGGTAATCAGGTCAAATGGCTAAATTAACACAGGAATTAAGATTATTAATATTTTCTTAAGTGGTTAAACTAGGTATATAATTTTTAAGCCAATCAAATTATCCCTTAAACTACTTTGTAGACTTTCTTTTATTAAGAATTTTTGGATAATATAACGAGTTTTATATTTTTTGAATTTGCATATATCTGGAAAATGTAGATAATATTAGTATTTGCTATTCTTTCGCCTGTGAAGTTTAATAAAGTTCTGTTATTTTGATAAAGTTGTCAAGAGATGGAGATTATGGAAAGTATCAGTGAAAGGGGCCAAAAATTATTAATAGTCGAACAATGTAAGTTCTTTTTATTAAAAGTGCTCAAAAAAACGGAGGAATGCACAAAAAGAGGTTGCAATGCGAAATTATCTTTATATATTTCTTGGTGAACCAACTTGCTTGGTTTCGTTGACAAGTTTTCTGTAGCAACTTGTTTAAGTTTATTACTAATTATCTGTCTATTCAATAATTGCCTCACGGTACTAAGGAAAAGCCTTTTTAAAGCCAGGATGGGTCAATCTCAGGAAGGATTCGAAGGTTAGCAAATAAAAGCTATTGCGGAGTTCTTTTCTTTCAATCAGGCAGATTCTTATATTTTTTAAATATCTTTTAGCAATAAGTATGAAACATTTGGAAGATATTGATATAAATACGTATTTATATTTACAAATTTTTCACAGGTAAGTTCAACAAGACCCATAAAAAGGATTACACTAATTGTAAAATAACCTTAACATTAAATAAATTGTCTTGAATGTTTTTAATAATTATGTTCTATTTTGTTTCAGATTCAGTTTATTGTCTTTAACACAAGTTTGATCTATTAAGAAGGTTTAAAGTTCTATTTTCTAAAGAATTATCAGCAAATTGGTAAGTTAATATACATATGAATGAATTATCAGCAAATTAACAAATTAATATATAAAATATACTTTAATCACTGACTCGAATAATAATAAAAAAAAACAAATTAGAGTTATTAAGGCTTATCTGTCTTTTTCCAGAAGGGCGGCTTCTCTCCAGAACCTTACAGGGCTTCTATTGGTGTTATTGAGTTCTTATAGGCGTCAATACAGTATGATATTTTTAATTAAATAAGATGTTTTAATGGGAACTTTCAACACAGATATAGTTTTAAGTGCCAAAGGTAAAAAGTAAAACTGAATAGAGGAAAAAGAAAAAGGCCTAAAAATAATATAACTTGGTAAAGCATCATCTTAAGAAATATAAGGTACAATAGAATCGTTCAATCAATAGACTCAACTCGGTTGGCAGGGGGCCTGAACGTGGCTTCATTTGAAGCGAATTTAATAATTGAATTCTCCAAATTAATTGTTTCTTTTAGATCCACAAAATGTGATACTAGTTACTTTATCCCTAATATCGAAATTAAATAAAATAATCGGAGATTTCGGTAAATATCCGCAAAAATGCGAGGTTTGGAAAACGTGGTTGCTTCTCAAAGCAAATTCTTCAAAAAGAAAAAGATAAAAAAACTGAGAGTTTTTTCCTTTTAGGCTTTAAACCAAATTATTCCGCAAGAATTTAGAGAATTATTTCTTTGCACTATTGGCTACACTGAACTGTGCATGACGTCATGGTATTTTTCCAATAATTTATGTTTTATGGTTCTGTGAGAAGAAAATTTGACAGACAATGATAAAAGTAACAGAAGAGGGAGCAAAACATAATTTAAGGTTATATTTACTTATTTACTAAAATATTTAGATATTAGTTTTAATTCGTTTATTTTTAGGTAAACCAGATATCAATGTAAAGTTAATTAAAGATGAAATATAGCTACAGTTGAAGAATCTCAAAATAGATATATATATATTAAAATAGTTGGGCCCTTGCTCATTTCTTTGTGAAAACTAATTATTCTATTCTAGAATAATAAAATTGTTAATAAAAATTATATATAAGGTATAAGACTTTTAGTACATAACAATGTCACTATCATGATTATGTATTCCATTAAGTCTTGAAAATGTTCCTCCTGGTAAATATAATTTCGCATTGCAACCTCTTTTTGTGCAGCTCCAACATTCCTCCTTAGTTTTTTTGAGCACTTTATATAAATAGAACTTACATTGTTCGATTATTAATAATTTTTGGGCCCTTTCACTGATAATTTCCATAATCTCCACATCTTGACAACTTTATCAGAATAACTGAACTTTATTAAACTTCACAGGCGAAAGAATAGCAAATACTAATAATATTATTTACATTTTCGAGCTATATGCAAATTCAAAAAATATAAAGCTCATTATATTATCCAAAAATTCTTAATAAAAAGTCTACAAAGTAGTTTAAGGGATAATTTGGTTGGCTTAAAAATTATATACCTAGTTTACTCACTTAAGAAAATATTATTAATCTTAATTCCTGTGTTAATTTCCTGTGTTGTTATTTGTCGACGAGAATTTCTCGTTTCACTCGAACCTTTTCGAAATTCCTCTAGCAATTCAATTTGGCTTAGGTATTTAAAACTTAAAGGAAACATTATAACTATTAATACCATGGAGAAATATGTACATTAGAAAGACATTTAAAATACCTTGTAAAAATCGTTGGGAAAATTTTCATGTTATCAGTTTCCGAGCTAATTTACAAAATAATAAATATATTTTGGTGTTTATCTAACGATTAAACAATGATAAATATTTATTAAGAAATGTAACTTGCTACCTTGACTGGATAAGCAACAATATTATTATTAAACCAATCAATAGGTGATTTTGGTAAATATTTGCAAAAATGCGAGACTTGGAAAACAAATAGCTTCAGAAAGAAAAAACAAACGACAGTTTTTGTTTTAACAATTCAAGAAAATCATAATTTTTTCTACCCACACATGGATATTATCTTATTACGCACAGATTACAAAACGAAAAAGTATGTTATTGCCTTTAACTGAATGAATATATTTCATATCCATTTTGGGTAGTGAGGACACTGCAAAAAAATGAAATCCGCCAATCACCGTTCATAGACACAGACTGCTATTATTTTTAAATTTTTATATAAGTGACAATTCTGTCAAACTAATTGTCAGTATATTTTTTAGTTATTGAGAATAAATATACACTAAAATGGGTTATTCTTGTGTAGAATCAACAAATAATAGCATTTCTTTTTTTATTTCATCTATAATTATAAATAATTTGTTAATTTAAATAAATCTATATGAAGTCAATTCAATTACGAGTATTAAAGCAACAACAATAAAAGATTAGGTGGTCTTGTGGTTAGCGTTCTTATCTTCTACTCAGAGGATTGGAGTTCGATTCCCGGATAAGGAAAAATTAAATGAACTTTTTCTTTTTTTTGTTTATTTGATTATAAAGATTATTAAAAGTCATAAATTACTTTAAAATTAGTTATTTTGTCTTAATAGCCTAAAATATTTTTTTATTTCTAAATTTTCGTTAGTGGGTCGTAGAAAAAATATACTGTACAACTCGAGTGTATTGTCCAGATCGCACTTAGACGATTAATCACTTCGTATATGGCGTCATGCTCAAATTTCGTCTTCGTGCGATATGGCCATCATATCCACTCTTGTTGCACAAACTACTATTACATTATTGTCTACACTGAACTGTCTATGACAGTGGTCGTCAACCTCTCAATGTGTTGAGCTAATTAACAAAGTTGTTAATTTTGGAATAAACAGCGAGCTACCCACACGGAAACCACGTAACGCAACGTAAATGAAATAATCCACAGTTAATTTATCATTATATTTGTTTATTTTACTATTTAACTGGTAATACATAATACATAGGTACTAATAATAAACTAATAAAACAAAATAACTAATATTACTAGTACGTACTTGTTCATAGCTACATTCCTACCTAACAAACTAAGGTGTTTGAAAAATAAACACAAACTTTTATCCAGCCACAACGGCATGTCACGTAAGATTTAAAAATGGTTAATAATAACAACAAAAAAGTAACGCACTATCATGAACATAAACATTGAAAAATAAAAAACCACGTTCAATGAGAAGGCACTCAAGACTCATCGATAATTTTTTTAATGTTTGCAGTATAATTTGATACAGCCATTCGAATACAATTATCCAAATGTTCATCTGTAAATCGATTGCGATATTTGTTCTTAATAAACTTTATATTGGAAAAAGAAGATTCACATAAATAGGTTGAACTGAATAATGCTTTCACTTTCAAGGCAACACGGCATAGAACTGAATATTTGTCTTTAATTACAATAGGCCAGATACATTTGGTACTTGATACTAACGATTTTAAGGCTAAATCATTTTGAAACTCAATTACTTCCATATATGTTGCAGTGATGTCTTCGCCAAAGTTCTGCATAACACAAGTTGCAAACTGTTGGATATCAATTTCCATAAAGGGTGAAATAACAAACTGCGCTACTAAAGCCATTTCGTTGAAATCCTTAAAACGATTTTTGAAGTTATTCTTCAGGGTGGAAACTATTTCTACATGATATTTGCTCTCATAGGGTTCTAATGGATTTTAAGATATTTTTTCTGAAAGAATAGGAAAATGCTTGGCATCGCTGTTAATTAGGTTTTGTTCCCAAAACTCCAGCTTTTGATAAATGCTTTTATATCAGAAATCATTTCCGCTAGTTCTTTGTCTCTCCCCTGAAGCAGCAAATTAAGTTCGCTTAATTTCTCTGTAATGTCCACGAGAAAACCAAAATCTCTAAACCAGATTGAATTTTCTAGTTCCAGAGTCGGTTCATCGCGTTGTTTGAAAAATTAAAACGTTTCAGCACCCGTCCTCTACTTAACCATCGGACTTCAGAGTAAAGGAGTAGGTCCCCGTATTGACAGTCAACTTCATCGGCCAAGGTTTTGAATAATCTTTTTTGTAACGCTTGAGCTCTAATCTTGTTCACAATTTTTATCACCAGTTTCATAAAGTTGTTTAGTTTCAGGAAATTTCCACATAATGCTTGCTGATGGATAATGCAGTGGTAACAGAGAAATTGCGGAAAAGTTTCATCTTTACGACATAACGCCACCAGACCCTTATCACAACCCACCATAGCTGGAGCGTCATCGATTGTCAAGCCTACCATTTTCGATATTGGAAGAAATAATATTTTTTAAATGAGAAAACAACTCCTGTCCAGTAGTGTGTCCTTTCAGTGGAATAAACTTCAAAAGATCTTCTTTAATCCTAAAATCACTAAAAACCATCCTGACGAACACGGCCATCTGGACAGTGTAAACGACATCTGTTGATTCATCCATTTGAAGTGAAAAATAAACACAGTTATCTAAG